AAAAAAAAATCAAACTATTGGAACTGGTTGAGCACCTTTAATTTGCTGCAAATCATGTTTTTACTGTAAGCAGTTGCAGCATGAAGTACATTTACAAAGGCAATACTGAAAAGGTGAAATACATTTTGTAAAATAAAGAGTTCTTTGTTGTTCAAAATGTATATTTCTGTAACTCTTTGCGTTTGTTTTGGTTTTTTTTTTTTTGCTGCTAGATATAAAACCTCACAATACTGATCATGATTTGCAGGGAAATTCTTTCTAAGTGCATCCAGTGATTACAGACAGAGCATCTCAATGTTCAACTTAATGCTTAAAGTAGCAATGAAACAACTGTTCATTGTGAAACGAACAAATACTTTATGAAGCTTAGAATCCAGTGCTTGGATTGGATTATGGCTAATAGGACTAAGGTAAGCTTAACCCAGACAAGATGGCTGAATTTGTTAGAGCTTCTAATAAGTCAGTATTCTAATTAAAAAATAGAGTGGAGAGGAGCGGGCCCTGTATAAGACACATTTTAAAAAGTCAGTGGCCGAGTCGGCAGCGAAAGTAGACTTAGGTAGATGGCAAGCTTTGTTTTTCTTCAATAAAAGGAATAGTATTAATTTCAGTTTGTGAATGATGTGGGAGGGGAAGGGCAAGGAAGGTTATCTCAGATTTTTTGGTTTATGTTTAGTAGACTTTTGGCTCTTGTTTACATTAACTGAGTGCTAGGCCCCTAAAATCTAGTGTGTTTCTGAAGCAAGTTTGTATGACAGCGCTTCAAACCTAATGTTTCGAGACAACATTGAATATTCTGACAATAAAATTGGAAAAGAAATTATTTTTCCAAAGACAAAAATATTATATTGCGTTTGAAGATTTGTTTATGGTTTGAGACACGCTTGAAGCTTTCAGAATTTTTTTAACTGCAGCTGTGTAATGAGCCTAGGTCCAAAGCCAGTGTGCACCAAATAAAAGCTTTAAATATACTCTCAGATCCCTGCCAGAGCTACAGATGGAAGTTGACATTGGACTTGAAGTGAAAATTTATATACAAAAATATTTAAATCATTTTATAAAAGTGTATTGATAATTGTTCTGTTTTGGAGATTAAGCTATCATTGATAGCTACCAGTGTAAAGAGTATTTAAGTTACTGTATCCCTATGCCCGTGGAAGTGTTTCATATGGAAAAATACTGGTTTGCTTTTTTGTTTAATAGTGGTAAACTTAAAGGTCTTGCAAAACCTACTTCCTGGGGCAAGTAACTTGAACAGGTAAAACACAAGTGGTCAAACATGTACTGTGATTAGGCTAGTTAACTTACATTTTGTGATACAAATGTCAAAGGACATCATAGGATAATCATTTGCTACCATTTCAGGCTGTTGCTGCACGTGATTGTCAGGAGTTGCCTTACTTCAGGGGAGGAGTTCCTTTGGGGAAATTGTTCTTGTCGCTTGAGCACAAGAAGCTGAAGTTCAGAACAATGTCTAAAATAGCATGAAAATACTATTATAGAACCAATTTAAGCTTCCCTGTCTGCTGTCTCCATAGCAAACAGGAGTATATTTACTTGAACAGCTTTTCAGAGAATTGCACAGTTTCTAGTCATAGTGAAGAGGTTTTTTAAGTTTTGACAGTCTGACTTTTTTCCCAGGGGAAAGGGGTCTCTTCATTTAAATCATAAATGGAAGCTATGCACTTGCATAGGTTATGACCTTAAAACTTGTGTTTTGGGTATATTATCACCCGGATGTTGAAAATCATCCTTGAATCTAACAGCCCACCCAAAGTCTGTTTCTTACTATGACTGTATTTTGCTAGTATATCCCTTATTTTTTTTAAAAACATAAATGTTGGAGATGGCTTCATTGCTTTATGTACACTAGCCCGATGGCTAAAGATGTCAGTCTTTGCGGCAATTAACAACTTTGAATTAGAGTCCCTAAATTTTACAGAGCAAAACATTATAAACAAGAATCAGATGAACCCTCTTGAAGTTCTCTTCACTTTGGAAGAAATTCTGTATTGAACTTTGTTAGTTTATTCCCTCGCGGTGGGAAAGGCCTGCTGGTTCACCTTGTATTGCTGTAAGGGCAATCCAGGACAGATGAACACACAACCTACCTATGATGTGTCATTTTTACCTACAATTGAAAAATGAGGACACTGAAGATGAACTACAAAAATAGGCAAGAGTGGCTCTGGTACTTAGATCTCAGCACGACAACTCTACCACTGCAAAAGTACTCTATTTTTCTAGTTGAATACTTTTTTTTAAACTATTTCTGTATTTGACACATTAGTGTTCAGCCAACATTGTTACCATCCATTTTACTTTGCTTTCATTATCGTTTTTAATTTAATATATATGAGTCCATGTAGACTGTGTTGCAATAACTAGAATGATTCACTTTTATTTAGAATTAATTTCTTAACAGAATTTAATCAAAGATGCAGAATGGCTGTTAAATAAGGGACCATTAAATGTGATTTTTAAGGTTCTGCTTACTATTATGGATGTAATCCTTATAGTAAATTTAATTTTGTAAAGTCGTGTATAATATTGTAATATTAAATCTTTGTTTTCTGAACTCAAACATTTGATCTTCAGTATGAAGTTATAAATCTTCCCCCTTCTGAATTTGAGACAGGATTTACTTGTCCTCCTTTTTACAGTTTGTAATTTTCACTGTTTTATTCCTGTAAAAAGTCATTTGTAACACATGCAAATGCTTATTTTATCTGTGCTAATTTATCAGATTTGGCTACTCAATAAAATTAATTGAAAGAACTCATGTAAGTCCATCAGTCCTTTCTTATAAATAAAAACAGAATAATGTATTTGATCAATCGAGATAAATACCATGTACCAACAAGTGATAAAATCTACTTTTAGCTAAAACGTAATATTTAGGTGATACAAACTGAGAGGGAATTTGAGAAAATTAGTTCCAGGTGACTCAAGCTTTTCTTCTGTCACTGGCATTTTTTGTCCCTCCAGAGCATCTCTGTCAGTCAGCATTGTTATTCAGTCCTACCTTGGGGTTTGTTCTTCCAGTCAGCCTGCAGCAGTGCTGTACCCCACCGTGTGGTACCCTGCCATCTGGCTGGAAGCTGGTCTCGAGAGCCAGCTGACATTGATGGTTGGAATTTAGCCTTCAGAAGTATTCCCAAGATGGTAATCAATTTTATTGTAGATAATCCTGTATCTTCATTTAACATCCTATTTTTTTCCACACGTTTTTGTAGAAGACATTCCATCTTATGCTTGCCAATTTTTTTTACGAGCTGTCATCACTGCTGCTTCTGGTTCATCATATATAAGTTAATGCATGAGCTTGGTACTTTGACCTCTGTATTAAGTTTTTTGAATACAGAATTCTGTTATTCTCTAAATCACTTAGTATCATAGAAATATTAATCGGACTTGTCAGCACAAAGTTTTTCCCCAGTACATGTAACAGTCTGTGTCCTGCTGCTGCTGAATTTTACCGCTGTGGCTTGGCATTCAACAGGCAGCCATCCTAGCACTGGTCTTCGGAAGTCCAAGTATATGATCTTGAAGCCGTGTCCTGCTTCTAACTGAAGTGCCTGTGGCGCAGCCTGTGAGTTACGGAGCACAAGTCATTCAGTGTCAAGGATGTTGAAGGTAATTCGTTTGAAGTATTGATGGCAAGTATCCACGTCACTGTCTTCATTTGGTTTGGCTTTCAGGTACTTCGCTATGCTGTCAGCTAAGGGAAGAATACTGTGGCCCAGTTTTATCACTTTCTGTCACACAAGTAGAGGTGTGATGGACTTTTTATCGTACATAAATATGAATATTATGCCAACCGTATCTTGCTAGAAATAACTGAAGATGTGCTCTATTATGGTAATTCTGGAATCCTTGAGTGGTCCTTGTTCCCTTGGTTTTCTCTTCAGTATGCATAGGCAATCCGTTCAGCTGCTTACTCTATTAACAGCAGTGCAGTGACACTACACTGGGAATACAATTTGGGAAGCTGACCTGTGCTGCCTGACAGTCCCCACAAGGCATTTCCCTATGTTGTGTATCCCTTCCATATACGCGGAAAAACATCTGTTTGCTGGCAGTCCAACAAACAGCATATTCTCTTCCCTTGGTCGGGGTGTGCCCCGACATGACAAGTTAACTTCCTAAATTCAGCTGTGCAGCAGCACTCCAAGCTTTTCCAAGAGAAAATCTCAAAACCCAGCACTGCGCTCCCCTCAGCGCGCTGATCTGTTCTGGGTGAGGAGCACGAGAGGGGCTGGCGCTTCATAGTTTAAACAAAATTAAACAGCCCTCTGAACTTAGCCTTGTGAATACCTCTGATGTTCTGCTGCTTTTGTATGGTCACAATTTTAACTGTTGTTTTTCTAGCTACAGAGCGTTAAGTAAATGCTACTTTGGCCAGAAACATGAATGTTCACTTACTTTAATGCTTTAAGTTTCTATACGGAACACTACTTTCATCTCTCTGTATGATAAGGAAAAGGTTACCATCCTGCACAAGTTTTTATTTTGCATTGTTAAGCAGATTTTCCTCACGGAAGGCAAGGTGGATTTGCCGGGTTTACCGAAACCAGACTTTTAAGCAGACTAAGGAAGGAGCCGGCCAGCGCTAGCGCTCAATGGTTTGCTTTTCCTATTGGCATGCAAAAACCCTTACCCTGGCTGAAGCCGTCGGTCAGGTTCCCGTCAGCGCGGCGCCTCCCCCGCCGCCACCTCAGCACCGCCCCGCGGCCATCGCCCGCGCCGTGCCTTCCCGCCTTCCGCGCCGTGATGTCACTTCCGAGGCCGCAGCGGCCATTTTCAGTGCGGGCGCCGTACCGGCAGAGAGCACGGCGCGCGAGGGGCTCTCCCCGCGCGGCCCCCGTTCCCCTACCCTTACGCGAGATGGCGGCGCTCGCTTCAGCGGCTGGAGGCGGGCGGCGCTGGCGCCTGCGCGCTGAGGCGGGGCGGCCCCATTGTGCGGCGCTGAGGGAGCGCCGCGGCCTTTTCTGCCGGGGATGGAGGACGGCGGCGGGGCGGCGGGGGGGGCCGCGCCCCCCGGGGGCCCCGCCCGCCCGGTGGGCGCC